TAAAAATTTAACATAGAAATCCTTCGAATCAGTATATCATTTTAATAAATTCGTATCATATCCGGTAAATTTAAAAATGATAGTAAAGTGATGCTACTCGTATTAAATAAAGTAAGCAACAGCGATTACGATAGTTAGCAATATGTCGTAATATAATGAGATTTAGACGTTGAATGCAAGAATTATAAGCTTGTCATTTCATGAATGCTGAATGTAGAGCATATATATCAGTGATGCGTTAATGTCAATTGACAGAATTATATGCGATTTCGAAAGCGTATAAGTTTCTGAGAACTATTGTTAATTTCTATTTAATGACTATATTCAGTAAATTTTAAGATAGAATCTTTCATTTTCTGAGAATAATTTACGTCAAAGACTGACAAAAATCCATATTACGATAAAGGTAGCCTTAGATAATCTTTACTAAACATATTCCGATAAATTTGTGACTGTCAGATCATTTATTTATCATAGCTCAACATCATATAATCATTTCGTTGTGATGAAATACCACCGATTGACTGTAAGCTTTTTTTTATGTCGTCAAGAAATAAATAAGATCATCAGCAGCGCTAATTATTCTTCTTCTTTAATAAATAAAATACAGTAATAAAATAATTAGTTTACTGTAGTAAGTCATGATATATCATAGTTCAGAATCTATGCAAATATAAATCATCGCTGAAATTACTCTCCAAATAACGATCTTAGAATCATATGCTATCTAAATCACATCAAAAGAATTAAAATATAAATCTTGCCGTTTAATTGAAGTTAATTTTTATTTTTAACATATGCGCTAGTATAATTATTAGATCTCCTTCGCTATCTATCCAAAACAAAGTTATTCCTAAGCGTAGTCTAATTTTTACATAATAGAAAACTAGTTTACCATCTTACTGCAGAGTTCAGCGTAATAAATTCTATGCAATAACTTTGATACTACTGATATCCAATTATAGGGTACATATAACTCATCTAGTGATGAAAATTAATCGGCAGGGCTTAGTTCCTTTGATGTAAAATTGTACATAACCAAATCACATAATGGGATTATCCATTTTTAAACTAGGTATACATTTTGTAAGAGCATATCTTAAGTATAGCTTAATATATGTTAATCTAGTAAGACAAGTCCGTTTCAATTATAATATTACTCTGAAATATCTAGAACATTATATAGACTTTATAGATTGAATTTCTAATATACATCGAACATTCTTTTCTATTGATCTGATCATCGGAAAGGAATAAATAAGCTAACCTTATTTAAGCAACTTTCCGATCTTAATTTTTATCTATTCGCGAGCTTATTGTATGATTGTTTGAGATCAAATTCAATTTATGATCACATCTTAATAGAATAGTGTAAATTATTATATTATCAAGAATTCAAATAAAAAAAGAAAAAGAAATAGCCTAGTTGAGTAACTATTTAGATGCACGAAAATTCTTAACAGTCACTTTAGTCTTTGGAAAAATCATGTAGATAAATAGCCCCATAAATTCATTCTAAACAATTTATATTATATACTTTAACTTTGGTTATTGGAATTTTCTAGTGGTTATTTAAGCTCACTTTTATACCATACCCTCAGACGTAGTTACCGATTATATTACCACAAGATCGTCTTGTTATGATCAATTTCATGCAGTCATTCTCATTAGCATACAAAGGCCACGCAAGCCAATCGTATAATGGAAAGTGCCGAAAACTGAATATCAGCTGCAAGATATTTATTGTAAGATAATTAGCAGCAAATACCTGTCTGAAATTATGCCTTTAAAACTAGTATTATTAACAAATATGAAAACGTTCAAAGTAATACATTCGATTAATATTTTTTATACCAATTCTCTAAGGGACAAACTAGGTCGTAACAGTTCTATATAACTTTACTACGTGATTGATTGAGGATAAAATCTAACGATATGCCAAGCTTTGATTGATAACTCTATATTATAATCAAAGGGTAGATTTAATCAATACGACGATAAACCGATTCGATGAATGCTTAGTAAGACTTAAATAACAATGCCAGGAAACCTTACATATAATATACACGATTATGTAGAATAGTTCAATCAAATCAATCAACTAAAACTAGAAATTAGTATTTGGTAAGCTTTAAATTCAATAAAATATTTACTGCATCTGACATGTAATATAAATTTCGTTAAAAAGATATATTACTTCCAAAATTAGTATGGCGAGAATTTTGGTATCTTGTGAAAACTGTACGCCATCAATGATCAGACAGAAAGCTCCACAAACTGACACTAATGCCCTGTTATAATTTTTATTAACATACGTGACTGAATTACTTTCATTGGAGATTACCATCTATTTCAATATATTACGCGTCCTTGATTTCATGTAAGGAATAAAATTAACACCCTACCGCGAAATTTATTGATGTGGATCTTAGATACTTAATTCAAGATAGATTGATGGTAGCTTAATATCTGTATAACGAAGAAATGAACACAAAGTGCTTGAACATAATAGGCCATTTGAGCTGAGGCAAAACTTTTAAATTAAAATTTACATTTTAGGTATGCTGTACCTGTATACCATACATAATTTGAAACTCAATATGGTTACAACCCCCTCTAAACTATACTTCTTATTTACCAAATCATCGTTCGATAAAAAAGTTGATAATAATTTTGTCGTAAAATAAATGCCAATCATGGCACTCCAATAGTACTAAATCGTCAAATCTGGATAAAAATGCCGCCAGTCTCTGAACTAGAAATGAATACCTACAAATATTCAATAGTAATCGCCTGGTTGCAAATCTCAATTACAAATTTTCCGCAAAGCTGGCGAAAGTTGGGTAACTCATTTACTTATCTAAAAGTAGTAATTTTATGTGATTGATGATAATTTTAAAAGAGTCAGAATACGGATGAAATAAACCTGCATTTAGAAATTTAATTACTATTCATTGTAATTTTAAGAGTTTCCAAACTTTTAAAAATTTTCTCGCGTTCAAGTACTCAAAAACTGGGATAAAAAATTAATCTTTCTAATCACAATGAATGTTTATTAATCGAAATCGGTTAATATGGACACAAAAAACGTAGTATAAGTTTACACATCAAATTGGCATACGAGAATACGTGATTGAGCTTTTACTAAATAGCTAATCTCTCCTTTTTCTTATATTAGAATGTATCTGCCAGGTATAATCGAATTTCTTCTTTATCAAAAAGTTTTCGGTAGGTTTTTGTTTTTTTGTTTTTTGTTTAAAGAAATTTGCCTAGCCATGATTTACTATTTCCAAATAATTAACTTCTCATTAGCTATTTATAATTTATCCCCTAATTTTTATATAGGAATAACGTAGAATATCGGCTAAGCTTTCTTTAATAACGTATATAAGCGTTTTGGATTCATATAGAAAAATGAGAATTAGACAGCTATCTACTTTCAAAATTAGTATAACCGGCTTTCTAAATTTGCCAGGAATTCAGATAAACGCCTGTTGATCAATTTTTTACATTTCACATAAACCATTCAAGGGGCTAGAAAGAATTTACGTTGACGTTAAGTTTGGACTGAAAGTAGCTTCTTTCTCGAGCTAAGTTTTAGCAATCACGAAAAGATTTTTAATTTTAGCTGATATAATAAGAATATAAAATTGGAACAAGCAATATAACTAAAGTCAAAGTTACCTTCGCAGATCTACAAACGTGAACAAATGCTGAATCCGAGAGTAATAATGCAGCTTTAGCAACGGTACTACGCAATTTAATCCTTCAAATGTAAATATTACCGTCAATACTAAGAATTGACCATTCTCAGCCCAAATAAACTACTGTACTTTCATCTATTAGTAGTTGATGAGTTTATTGCTTAAGAATTTCGAATCGATATGTAGTAGTTCTTTTTACAATTTTTTGTAACCTAAGCATAACTATTTGGGAACGAATCCTTCTAAGCTAATCATTCCTCCGCTACTAAGACTTGATTATACCAGCTGCTCAGGTATCTTGCTCCTCCTTCTATATGCATACTATCAGTATTGATCGTAAGCTAACGATAATTTTACTCTCCTACCTTTATATTGAATTAGACTATCTTAGGCCTATTCTAGCTTCCACTTAGTACAAACATCTTCAATTTATCACTACACTTTACTCTCTATTACTCTCTTTTTAGTAATACAATTATACTTCCAGTGGTCACAATTCATATTATTTATAGTCGTGGATATCTGAAGTTATGGAATCTGGTGATGTAGTAATGAGGTAATATAATGTAGCATTGTAAAATATATAAAATAGAATGTTATAGTTGATAAGCCATTTTGCTTAAAACAAAGCTGCTTCGGTTAACTCTACATGAGAGTATTCACTGTAATTATAGTCTGAAAAGTCTATTTGGATTGATATTTATGTAAATTTTAATTAAATGGATATGTAGAGGTAACAGTATGGAATGCTACCATATCTGAATTAATACCATTATAATAGAAAGATTATTATTGTCAGCCTGCAAGTTTTGATGCTAGGTACCTGCAATGTGCTAGTTCATACCCATTATTCGACTAAAAAATGTAAGCTTTTAATTGTAGTAGGTGCACATATTAACGATTTCAACAAACGAAGCAATGACCACATCATATATACTGCAATACGTCCATTTATTAACCTAATGCGATCCAGATTATTTAAAATTTCGATAACTTTCAAAAATATATTAATTGTAAATTAATATGATTATTTGATATTACAGTACTGTATGAAACGTGTAACGAAATCGAAATACGTATAGTTGTCGTATCATAAATGAATATTATTTTATTTACAGACCAGAAAACTTTTGTGAAGGATTTCATTATTTTTAAAATTTATAAATCATTTGCAATGAAAATTCTTTACCCTGAATTTCAGGGTTATTACTCAGATAGTTTGTATGAATTGTTAAAAATATTTTAATTCCTAGAGGTAATGAAAACGTTATTGGGCAATGAATTTAAATATAGTATCTATAACTTGGGCCAATCAATACGAAGTTGAATAATTTGTAATGCAGTTAGCAGTTCCATGCGATGAATACCAATTTCATTTAGAGCAGCAACAGCGGAAGCTCTAGCTTTGCTAGCAGAAATATCGTTATCATCCAAATCCATCGTGGCTGATTGTAGAATTTCTTGTAACAGCATTACCGATCCACTATTTAAATTTAACAACACACAAGCTTCCTTAAGCCTAAAATAACAGAGTATAATGACATAAAATTAGATTCCTCTTCAAATTATAAACGAAGGCTATCTTGTACTAGTGCCATAAATTAGTTATAAGTGATAATGAAGATTGTTTACTGTTAGTAAAAGGGGTAGACTATTACAATTATGTTTTGTATCAAATGTATTTAAATAATTGAACTTACTCTTTAAAAAAATTATCTGGCCGATGAGTGTATTCCCGAAAGAGAATGAATAGATTTTTATTGACATCGTACTCAAGTTGTTTGGCACCATTTTCATTAAAAAGATTACTTACAACCAACTTTTGCATCAAAATTAATAAGACGAAGCAATCGTTACTTTTAGCAAATATTCAACCCTCCATAAGCCGACTATAGCTTTAGTAATCGATTGCTAGCACTTCAATAGATATCTCAACAACCAACAGCTATGCATATGTAATTGTTTCAATTTTAAAATTCTTACCTCCTGATAGAGATGTTCATTTATTTCCTGCGCTAATCGTTGCCAAAACTTTAAAAAGATAGAACTATCGAGGAAGGTTTGATAATATTGCAGTGATTCCCTCACGCTAACCAACATATCACAAGCGGAAGGTGACAACTGTAAAGTTGACCCACGAATGGACTGCATAGATAACCATCTGTGAACAGAAATGAGCAGAATAATATTACGTACAGCATACATGGTCTTTACATTGCTCAATTTTTTAAATTATTAAACAAAGTATAGACAGCATTACTTTTGTTTACAGTAAGGTTTAGCGTTCTTTTTTATGATTTGCATGACAACTAAGCCCAACTTATTCAACATTTCGTCAAGTAAAATATTATAAAGTCCAATAATTCCATCGAATATTGTACCCTCAACCGCATCATTATTTTCTTTCAGCACTTCTGATTCATTACTGTCATCTTCTAACGACTTCACATCACCTTTCCTGAGCTTCACCTCTTTCGCGTATAAATCCAGGAAAAACTGAAGATAAATAGTCTATCATCAATAGAAGTAAAAGAGTAGCAGAGGATGCTTTTATAAATTAAAAGAAATTATTTTACATGGAATACGTTATACCCATTGATCACTCCATTTTTTTAACACTCCAATTAAATGATTGACTCCATTTAAAATGTAACTGTAGTCCTGATCTAGTAATTGTTTTGGGCCATTTTTGGTTAATTCAACAAATCTGGCATATAATTCGTCAAGAAGGCTTAGTTGCATCCGAACGAATTGCATCATATAAGACGTGCTAGACAATTTGCTATATCGTTCTATGAATCGAGGGTAAGAATACGTGACACTTAGTACTGCTAACCTAACCGGCAGTTTCTACTAAAACTTTAATACAATATTTACAGCCAAATCTTGCGATAAGAATATCACGCTTACCTTTCATTAAAATTAGCATAGTTAAGATATTTTCTGTTGCTTCAGGAAATTTTAGAGAGGTATCACAATCCTGAGCGACATCTTTATATTTTGGTCTCCAAGCCGTTGCTGAAGAGATAATTTCATTGATTTTCTCCTTCCCATCTCGAATGAAAAATAATCGTGCCAAAAAGTTAGAATCTTACGGTATTTATTTATTAATGATGATGGTGATAAAGAAGACATAATACTTTATGTTATTACTTTTCCATTCTAATGAAATCCATTTATCGATGACAGAATCATCTTCTAAAGCGGCGATGCAAGAAGGCAATTCAATAGGATAATAATATTTATTGTGTAGTTCATTTTCAAAAAGCAATAGTTCGTCGATAATATGAGAGAAGCAGTAGTCATCCGATAACAGTAAAGGGATATCCGATGTTACTTTTTCGACTAGTACGACTACTAGACCTCGAATAAATTCGATCTAAAAAAGGAGATAATAGTTATTAAAATTGGATAGAATCAACTTTTCGATATCCATATAATACATACCCGAGCATCCACATTTTCGAAATTATTTTGATTCAAAATGGGCTGAATAGTGTATTGTAAATATTGCGAATGATCGCGAATCCAATTCGAAACTTGAGTAAAATACCATTCAGGCTGTAAAAAATATCGCAATGCATGAATCAATCAGTATAATGTTGTAGCAGTATAATCCATTCAGCAGAAACAAGGCTATTTATTACCTTTTCAATGCTGTTCGTTTGCTTTTTACCATAGAAATGGAATCGAAATCTTTTCCTTAGTGGCCTAACAAGTAAATCTATTGGGGCAAGTAACGGTTTGTAAGGTTGTAAAGATGAGGAGGACTGATTTTCACTCATCGCCTCACTGCATGGAAATATTGTTAAGGATTGTAATATGTCAAGCGAAGGGAACACTATCTGTCAAAAAATTGGATTATAGCCGCTACTCTTTTTAGTATAACATGAAAGAGTGAAGAATACTTTAATACGCTTATCGCTAGGATTCTATTCCATTACGAAATAATTAATTATTGGTACAAGTGGACATCTATATCAACTTATGATTACAACTAAAATAGAGGATAATTAATAATAGGAATAGATACGGTAACTGAAGTCTTAGCAAATAGGAGAATAACTTTTCCAATTGTTGCTTGCAATCGATCTGATTATCAAGCGAAGGTGAAGTCATTTGAACGGAAAGAAAGGGCCACTGAATCTTTGTTAATACATCATCAAACTCTCTATAATTGAAAATGAATCCATTGAAAGAGCATGATCAATGTCAGCATCAATACGCTCTCGTATTTGATAAAATCCTGACTGATGTCTTTATTGGCAATTATTTGATTGCAAGAGTCTATAATAAGGTATGGATTAAGTATTATAACAGATACTGTTACCGATCAACAGCAATTGGTTACCTTTGCAGAATCTTTCTTAATATTTTATGCCAGTAGGAAATTGTTTGATGAACATATTTTAGTAAATGTTGGCATGAAGTTGATTGTAATTGTTGATTGATGGTCAACAACGACGTAAAGGCATCTAGAACATCAGGTAACGACGCTACTTGAAGGCCATTGATCATTTGCTTACTAGATGGCATCAATAAGTATGTATTCGAGTATGACAAGGAGATTTTACTGTCAAGCTATTACACCGTAACGCGATTGCTATCGTCCATCCACTCACCTTATACCTTCTACACGTTGTATCCAGGTAAGATAGCATGCTTTAAGCTTGGCAGTTTCTTCTTGTTTCATTAAGTTTTCAATTTGTTGTAGATGATGTTGATGATGTTGTTGTAATTGGTGCCAATTACGTAACAATTGTTGATAATCATCTCGAGCATCATGACCTTGCATGATTGCGTTATCACAGGCTTGCATAGCATGGACTAAATTTTCATCGCTGCCATCGATCATGGCATTGTTCTATCATTGATAAAAGACAAAATGGAAAAGATTATAAAACCTTACGCCAATTTATTGGTATCTACGCTATTCCATCGACGATGGGCCTTGTTCTATCATCGATTACTGTAACTTCAATCAAAGATGGAGAAGAGGATCAAAGCTTGCACCCATGATCTACTACTCCTTTCTGCTTCCATTGGTCCATTACGCTTCGCTAATCAATAGAAATACTCTATCTCTGGAGGCACTTTTCTTTGCCTCGATCGCTTAGTAAGTTGGCACATTTTGACGGATCTACACGTCGCTAGCTTGCCTTCCTATGTGCAACTGGCAAAGCTTTGACTCTCGGCTTCCACCTTCATCTAGTCTAGTATGATTTGTCAATAGCTCATGTCTAGCCAATACATCAAGATACCTTTGTATTTAGAGCATCTAATTCAAGTTTCTTTTCCTTTAGTGTTGCATCGATACCATTCAAAAACTGCTGCAAATGATCGGAAAAGAGTTGATCCAAGAATTGATTGGCAATATTCTCCTCCATGTCCCAGGCTTTCATGGCAACGGTGCAGCTGTCAACCAGGAGCTATGGCCGAGGAGTACACCCAGCCAAGTATTGCACTCTAGTGCTTCAAACGCTTCATTGAAGCTATACTGGTCATGTAGTAAAACCCCAAAAAGGGGCTACCTCTATTTCCAATCCATGGCCAACTATTTTACAGTACTTAGCCAACTCTCTACAGTGCCATTTTACAGTACTCTGTACTGTACACTGTACCAAGGACTACAGTACCAAAAGAAGATCCAGTCGGTGCTCTGGGATGAGAGGGAGCCTTGACTGTGTGACCCATGGATGACATATGATCCATGGGTTTTATACGGTTCCATTCCACTCACGGTTACTCATACGAAACACCAATTCATGTTCCACTTGGCGACAGTACTCTACCGTACAGTCCGTACTCTGTAGTGTAGTGTACAGCGTCTTCTAATTTCGACTAGAGACTGACTTGAACTGGAAAAAAAATGTCACTAAAATGAATGTGCGAATACTCTAGCTTATACCAATATCTAGCAATAAATTTCATTTATACCTTTACTAAAATATCTGAGACGAAAATAATGCTGCTAAATTAGACGACTTATTGAATAGTCCATGACTCTACAGTGTACAGTATTGTACATTTTAGTGGACTGTACAGTAGATACTGTAGCGACTTGGACAGGTAGACGGACTTTTCTTAACCAAGGAGGCCATCAATATCGCTCAAATGGCTACCTAGCATGGATCTTCCGCGTCTCTTTACTAAATCACTGGCACTAATTCTAATAGCGTCGACAATCTCATATAATTGTCTCCAAGTAGAACTTAGTCACAGTGTTAGCGGTAACGATAGCGACTGTTTTTATGTATGCTCTCAGTCTACCGAAGCGAGATCCCGGCAGCTTTGCTTACACGTGAAGATCTACCTTTCTTCTGTTTTCTCACCACCTTTATGTACAGTACAAAACAGTACCTATACTGATCTAGGACGGAACAGAACTAGTGCTGTTAAGCTCTGCTAAGCTTGCAATTCAACAGTCCAAGCAATCCTATAATTAGCTAACTACAGAGACGCTAGTAAATCCGTAAAACAAACAGATCATCACATTGAGCGTAATATTGCTTAATTTTGGAAAAAATCAGTCCATTCAAAATCGACCATCTGCATACTAAAGTACTTTCATAATCCAGTGTTTGACATGCTATTTTGGCGCAATGAGGTCGGAAATGTCTGTCCATCCAAGAGTGATTGTCCAGTTGTACAGTACAAAGTAAGTACTGTACAGTACTGTGCTCGACTGTGTACTGTACACCGTCAACTTCCTCCAACGGCATATTAAAACGGTAGAGTGTTGGCCAGCGATGGGCAATTTGTAGATTGAAAAGTGATATTATATCGCGTTTCGTAGGGCGAAATATGAAATAAAGTAGTTTACAGTGGAAGGGTGGCCTATTGGCCGTCTCTGCTCTGCCTGGTGTGGGCAGTATCATGAAAAATAGGGATTGAGTGGTCCATGGATTGATCTGCCTATGGACGATGCCTCAACATCAAGTATAAGATCAACGTGTGAATAGTGTGCAATAGTCAAGGCTCATCTCGGTAATGGCGTTAGCGCTTTCTATAGCTTTCAATATGAGCAAAAATAGACTACTGTTACTCAGTACAGTGTACAGTACAGTGTACAGTGCATAGTACCGTAACAAGAGGTGTTCAGTACTGTACACTGAGTCATGTGATCATCGTTCTGGTCACGGGACCTGTGATACAGTACAGTACATACTGTAAGGCGTTCTGTACTGTACACTGTACACTGTACTCAGCGGGCAACTTATTGGGACCCGTTTAGGACCACATCAATCTGCCAGCTTTTTTTTTCGATGCCACTTTTTCAACTTAGGCAAAAGAGGTAAATTCTGCACTTCTAGGTGCTCGATTGTAGTAGACTATCGCCAAGGATGCTTTATTAGAGCTATTAGAAGATATCAACAGTATTATCCAGTTATTCTGGTTGTTCTCTTGCAATTGTCCATTATTTTAGCACTGATTGACGTCATTATCCTCTTGCTTTAGCGCTCCAACATGTCTGGTATTGCGACTGGAAGACTAAGTACAGAGCGTAAATTATGGCGTAAAGATCATCCATTTGTAAGTGATGGAAAGGATAAATATTCCTTCTCGTTTTGTTGTTATCATGATGAAATGACAGTATTCTACATTTGAGTGCAGAACTACCATCGTACTTGTAGTGAATCGGCTACAATTCATATTGAATGGTGTAGTCTTGACATCGGCTAGCAGCTCTTAATTTGGTACTTTCGGACGAGTAGATCTATGATCGACTAATTCCTAGACTACTCGTAGTAGACAAGCAGATATAAATCGACCCGCATAGACCGATAGTCTATCATCCTCCAATAGACTCTTGTCTTGATATGCTTTAGAAATTGACTCAATGTAGTAATAGCAGCTTCTCTTTATGTGGGGATACGATAGCATGGACCACCGACATCAATACAGTACTGTATACCTAATTGCTGCTGATGAATTACAATCATCAACGCCATCATAGGACGATACACACTAGGTCTAGATAATCATGATGGCAATAACCAGCTAGTTAAATGGTAGATCAAATCTGCTTTGTTACATGCAAATGATCGTATGAATAAACAACGATAGGATACCAGGGATAGAAAGTAATGCCTACACTTCTTTTATCATATCTTAGGGATTTGTTGCTCGACCCATGAAGGGTCCTGATGGTGCCTTGGATTTAATGAATTGGGAATGCGGTAAGAAATAGCTCAAGCCTGCAAGGCTGCTTATGTTATTGCGAGTCTGTCGCAAGTAATTGAATATTGCACTCAATTATCAAATACCTCGGTAGAATGCCACCAATTGACATAATGAGGTGGCCGTAGCAATCCAAGCAATGTCAACTGAATGTCTATGTCATACACCCTGTTAGCATAATCGTCATGACATCAACTTGTAATGTATATTTCTTACTAATTTTCTTCCATATATAATGAATGCCTCTTTGAATCAATCCCACAGTTATTCCTGGCAAGAAAGGGGTAAGTTGCCTCACCTATAGTAGATTCATCCAAATAAATCTTCTTTGATGACTAATTTGTATACTCTAGTGCTTTAACCTGTCACGCAATATCTAAAACGTTACCATTAAATCTATTGATAGACTGCTTGGGACGGAGGTTACTACAAATTAAAAATGATATTCAAAGAAGATTATCCATCTTCTCCACCTAAATGTAAGTCTATTCAAAAAAAATGTCACCATTACAATCCATCTACAGTATAGCAGTTAGATTCGAGCCATAAAGATCGCTACTGATTCTTGCAATTAAAACGTATAGGTAAATTTGATCCGGCTTTATTTCATCCAAATGTGTATCCTTCTGGTACAGTCTGCCTATCTTTATTAGATGAAGACAAGGACTGGCGTCCGTCGGTTACAATCAAACAAGTAAGATGTATCTAATAGCCATTATAAGAGCCAATCCTAACCAAATAGTCTTTAATTTGTGTCATTTACCCTTTTCATACCTTTACTGTAACTTGTTATTCAATTTTCCAGAATGAGTCATGCAACACAACCCAAATATGCTTTAATTTAATGCAATCATTCTTACAATTACATTCTTATATCCCTATTGCATATCATGTTTTGTTCTATTTTACTGCTTTAAGATCTTACTTGGAATTCAAGACTTACTCAACGAACCGAACATAAATGATCCAGCACAAGTAGAAGCTTATACAGCCTATAAGTTAGTAAATCGAAAATAGTTTAGTGATAGAAAGACACTTACTTGATACCGGACTTATATACAATTTAGTCTTGTTCAATTTTGAAGTAGAATACAGCTAATTTTGGTTGATATTACTGCATACTATGTACGATACCCTACGATTATCATGACATTTGCATCTTTTCATAGGGAGAACCGAGTATTATACGAACAGCGTGTGAGAGAGCAAGCAGCTAGAATGAGACCTGTGTAATAGACTGATAGCATAGCATATCCTGATCAAGTATTACCTTCTTCATACTGTATTCACCCTTTGTAGATATATATCCAATTTGACTGTTGGAGTCATCTCAGTTACTGTATTTATTATAATTAGTGCGACTTTTACTTTAATATGGTTTAGCAATTTCTACGTTTTTGTGTCATTTTTTTCTGTTTAATAGTAAACATAACGTTTATTTCAGACTGATGCTCGCGTCAGTAACGGAGTTTCAAAGTAGATGAATGAATTGTAAATATCATTTACCTGCTTTTAAACATCGAAGTGATGATCTCTCAGCTTTAGTTCTTAGTAATGATAACTTGAATGTTTACAGCATCCCAATCATTAGCAGTACATTAATTATTATACGATTCAGAGTTGAAACATGTTCTCACCTATTTCTAAAAGCAGTAACTGCCAGAATTCTATTTTATATGCATACAACATTGGACCATTGGTCATATTAATGTGTGTCTAATGTGTTAACTTACCTCATCAAGTAGAATATACCAGTAGACAGTAACAGTACTACTAGCATTCTATTCGTAAAAAATCTGTTATAGCATTACAAGTATAATTTCGATATATTTGCACCCTTTTTTATTCCTTTTTTTGGTATTCAGCATCTTCAATTCGAAATATGGATTCAGCTGATTTTTAATTTGATTAACAGCGATATTACTTTAAATAAATTTCTGCTGTAATACATGATCTATTGCCTGCGCACTTCCAATAACTGTCATTATCTATTCAATGTCCGAACACTTTACAAGTGATCCAAGGTAAATTATGAGAATGCCGTTGTTTAAATACTGTGCTTGTACCTTAATTTAAGTCTACTTAAATTGCTGTTAATTTGAGATTGTAGCGCTGCTATAAAGACAGTGTAAGTCAGAGCTGTAAGTTATACAATATACATTTAAAGGAATAACGCTTGGACACTACACTCAATAGTCATATCTAACTGCTTATCAATTCTTGGACAACCTTTGCTGTGATCCACTCCGTTCAATGTGCTTGACATGCAAAATTATAAAGGCAGTAAAAGCTTTCATGTAAAAGGAGCACTGAGTAATGCAAGACAATCGCGTGATTTATGACTGATTAATTAAATATAACTCCATGCTAATGGCTGATATATCAAACACTTAATACATCCAGTACTATCGTTACTAACTGTCAAAATACGAGATTATAACGGCTTTCAATAGAAATGGAATTGATTGCAATATACGAGTTTGATAGTGGGTAATACTTACTCGTAATATAATATTAATAACAATGTTAACGCTAAGAGCTCTACTGTAAGCTAGAAAATGTACTTGGTAGCTTGGTTACAGACCACACGCTTAATTAACGTATTATTACATACAGTAACCTGTCATTATCGATTGAAGTTATAAGGTTATGTACTATAAAGTTATATGGCCTGAAAATGTTTTTCTGATATTGCATACTTGTGTTCTCTAACATCTGTTAACGTTCACACTTAGCATCAATGAAAATTTCTACTGCATTGAAATTTAAATGCGCCTATTATACTCGTATATTAACAGAAGAGCGGTAAAGGAATATTTCTCAGGCCCTGATTGAAATATTCCTATGCTATTAATTCCCTAAAAATACTCATATAAACGAAAGAATACGGCAACGACTAGAACAGTACGGTAGATCTCGACTATGCTACTACCACCAGCTTAATTAGTCTTCTTTAGACAGATTATCAAAGCTGCCTAAATCTTGTCCTCGTCAAATCTATAAATAGCCTTATTAAGCAATGATCTATAATTCTATAAAAATCTCGTATTAAATTTATTACTATTGGTATCAATAACAGTAGCAAGGAGTTCGTTATTGTTTTTATCCTTGATATATCTATACATCTTTATATACAGTATTTCAATTGAACAAGATAAATATTGTAACTAGATAGCCTTCCACTGCTACCGTGTATCATGACATATGCAGCAATTAACTGAAACAAGAAATCAATGATTTGAAATTAATCGACTTCTGGACAACCAGAGACGTACATTATCACTGTTGCGGAATAATATTATCAGATATACTGTATCTTGAAAGTAAAACATTCTATTCTACCATAAGGATATGAGTATTTACAAAGGTTAATTCACCGCTAGTTGTGATCATATAGAGGATGATTCATAATTATAAACAAGAATATCACAGAATTTTCGCGATGAAAAGCTCTTAATTAGCTTACTTGTGGCCTAATAGTCCGATTAAAAGATAAATTAACTACTGAGTACGGCTAGTATGCTATACATCAACCTTACTAATACTGTCAGATGTCAAGAAAAATACTTTAGAAATTAATGTTGAACGTATTTTTCCCTCCAACTAACAAAGACAAAGCAAACTAATTATTAGAAATGAAACTTGCCTTAATAACCAAAAAATAAAACATTGTATTATAGCTAAATCACGTAGTTTTACTGTTCTGTTTGTAAGAAAGAAAGTCTGAGCAGCAACATCTTTACATCACTATTGAGCCAAAGTATAAATTATCATTGTTTTCTTCCTTTTAAATTATAGATATTAATCTGATAGGAGTATGATGTCGGAAAAATAGATGGAGGAAAAATTAGTTTAATTAACTAGAAAAGGCTTACTAGCTTTTATAGTTGCAATTAAATCATCTCTCTATCAATGGCTATAGCTGTTTTGTTAGATCAAGCTGTACGTGATCATTGACGAAGATAATAGCAAAGGCAACAAAGACGCCGACGTAGTTTTTGATCGTGCAAAAGGAAATAGACTGGATGATAGTAACAATTAAATAATATAATAAATTGGCTGATGTAAAAGTATAATCCTTGATTGGTTACTTGGTGGTGGTCAGTCGGAGATTTAGTATCTTGTAGGGTCGTATAGGCCATATAAAAGAATGAAAACGCCTGTGGGCAAGCTGCTAAACAAGAGATTAATGGCAGTCCAATAATTTTTTTACATATTTTTAGATATTCACGCTTACGGCCATCACAACGATGTAAGGACATATTTAGCTCATGATTAGAATTATGATAGTGAACAGGCATAGTAATGCTTGTTTTGTTGAAGATATACAACGCATCTAAACCACTATAGATAATCATAATAATTGGTAGGATAAAGGCTACAGTAACGTAAATTGAGAAGTAAATACGCCGATACGACGGTATAAAAGTAGTAATATAGCAATAAAAGCCATAATATTGATGATATTTTAACCATGATGATGTTTTAGGATCAGATAGAGGCAAAATAGGCATTGCCAGTGTTAAGCTAATAATCCATATTAATGGTATCGTATAAGAAGTAATAAATTGAGTCGAAACTCGATTACGATATGGATGGCGTAAACGGCGATGTTGCGCAAAACTAATTAAACTCAATGTAATCATATGAACTGAATAAGGCAATAACTGTATTACTAAGATAAATTTACAAAATGAAAACAAAGTAGTAATGCCAAAATGTTGATGAAATGTTACTAATAAAACGATAAAATAGATTAAATTACCAAAGGTCAAGACAATATTCGATAAAGTAATATTAATGATAAAGTAATCATAATGTCGTTGACGAAGGCGATCACGTATTAAAACGTCGATGATACGTAGGTTACATATTAAGCTTAATAACATCAACACTACCATTACACAATTAACAGTCAATATGGTTGATGGCGGGATAGAAAATATCGTAGGTAAATCTGTTGTTAAGGTAGTTTCATTATTAGAATGAATTTGCAGCTTGAGTTCAGTGTTGCTCCAGTTTAGAGTCATATTCAATCTTGTTTTTGATATTGATAACGACAATAATACTATACCCCCTAAATTAATCTCAATATTGCTGTTGTAGTTTAAGTGAATTTACAATCATAAAAGAAGATAAATGATACAATTATAAATTTTTACAATAATCGAGCTGGCAACGATGATCCTCTAAATGGCTTAAAATTGACAACATGGACCATACGCCAATATCATAACGGTAATCTGATGTGATGCTGGCAAATCAATCCTGGTAATTGCTAAACAGATACACAAATTCAATAGATAGAATGAAATAATTCTAACGAAATCTAGTCGTTAATAGATTATAAATTCATCAATGATGACAATGATCAAATAATTTCAACAAGATAGAAGAGTTGCTTAATTAAAGAGAAATGGTTTGCATTCGAAAAATGAATACGATAAAACTCTTCTATTATCTACTCCTATTTTATTATAAATAAATTAACTAAATTCTTGAGGAGCAATTTCCTATAGTTTAATAATAATTACGACCGATAAAGTTTAGTCAATTTCGCAAGGTGCAAAATTGAGGATCCAAAGTGAGGATTTGCTAACGCTGTTGATATGGAAGAATAATAAATAACGATTACTGTACTTTATCTAACAAAATTGTAATGTAGACTAAGCAAGAAACAGAATACAGGGACGTGAAGTTAAAATAAAAAATATCTTACATCACTTATTCTTCAACAGAAATCAACTTTCTCAATTCTATTCACAACATTAAATCCTCTACAATTACACAACCAGTAATAATAAATTTGGGGGCTGTTTGCATTAATTGTAAATAAACTCTTCAATATTTAGAAATCACTACGTAAGCACAGCTTCCATTCACTTCTTACGCATAGACCAAGAATAAGTATTAATCTATTTCTTCTTTATTGAATTAATTTGGCTGTTAAAATCGATTTTATAGGATATAACTTTTAGCCAATCAACGATTAGAGATTGCTATTGATGAGATTAACAAGTTAGTGGATGGAAATCAACCTATCCTTAATAAATAAATAAAGACCTATAACCTTGTTTGATCCTTTTAACAGTTTGGTATTATACGCACTGGTATGTTGCAAGAAATATCCACAAAATTTGTTTGCCAAATCGTTATTGATAGTGTCAATTCCACGAGGCATCCAAGTAATCAGTTTGATTTACGAAAGCTGATTTATCGATTTAAATTATAATCAGTCGGTCCAATAGGTTAGAACCTCCAGTCTTTTGAAGATACTTTATAGATTTAATAATATCTTATGGAATACTCATAACAAAAAATTGCATTGAATTATTCCAAATCTCCAATATCGGAGACAGTTTGAAGAGAATTTTATTCCTTTTGACGTTGAAAAATCAGCTTTTCATTTTCGCTCCTGCTATTGCTTTCTTCTTACTAGGTGTGTTTTATATAACTTGGATAATAATATCGAGTAGAAATTTTTCTTATTATTAAATTTACTTTAATCTTAAAATCAGCGATAACTGGTTCTTTAATGCATGGGCTAAGATAGTTATAACTTTACTCTTTCTTTCTTGAATTACTATCATCCAGTACGGTTTACTGACTGCAAGAAACTTATATTTCCTAAATAGGATGCAAGCAATAACCATTAATTCTGTTTTCTTCTATACTAGAATTCGTTCATAGTAACAGGCATTAATATTAAGGCTAGATTTTAAAGAAATTTCATAAAACGATAACCGAAAAACTGTAGTTAGGTTAAGAATGAACTATACGATTTCAGGCCATTTTAATGCATAAATATACACTCTATCATTGGCATAATCCAATATCACATATTGAACTCAGAAACTATTTGCTGATTTGATTTCTTTCAAAATTTGATAGCGTTCTTGTCAGGAAATTAATTAATGATTCTAATCCGAATCACCGATAATATCATCATGTTCGAAAACAAAATACTTATCGACAGTAAATGATATTGGCACCTAATTAAGGTTTACAGATCTCACTTTCGATTTATTACTATGGTTAAATTAAAGTCATTTTTAATCAAAAAAACGCGTTACCAAGACAAGAATAAATCCCTTTCTTGTATCATTAAGGGCAAATGGATTGAAATCAATCTTTTATTTTCAATCATTTCTTTTGAAGAGATATATCAATTAATATGATACCAATATCATCAAGTTATCGCGATCTCTAGTATAGTTATAATAATATCCTAGATGGGAGACTAAGAGGCCGCATACCAGCACAATTTTAACTTAAAATTGCCTAGCACCATCGTGGATTATCTTGATAATGTTACTGTATCCAATCATAGTATCAAAGTAATTTTTATATCAAATTCTATCCGATCAATTTACTTACCATAATTATGAAATTCTATCCATATAGACTATTGCTAAGGGCTAAATTTGAGTTCGTAAAAGTTAACCTAACAAAATCGTGGAAGAAAATTAAAAGAAGAAATGGATTAACATGAATATCGAGTATAGATTAATACTCATGATTCATATCAACAACTGCAACTACGAAATCTAACCGATCAATAATTCATTGAGTTAAGACAGTATATTAATGTTGGAAAAGGTGATTTTCAATTCCAATGTAAAGGATTTTTCACGTATTGAACTCCTCTAGGGCAAAAGTATTCATCAGAATCAGAGCTAGTGGTGATAATTGTTAACAACTTGGCAGTTACCAACGATTGGAGCAGATCATCTTCAAACCAGCACGGAAGAAAGGATGATTAGTAACTCAACCGCTTGCGTGTTTAATTTTAATTTTAATTTAAATACTTTAACTCACAGTGGCAATTTTAATTAATAACATTCTTAACTATTGTTCCTAAGCCATTCTGACCTTTCTACTAGAAAAATAGTAATGATAATAACGATTGCTCTTCGGATCATGACGTAAGTTGACTAAAACTTAAATAGTCGCAAGTAGTTCTAATGGATAGGTCAAAGGTTTATTGTCTATTGCTAGTTGAATATTTATTAAAATAGATAACTAAAATATGTCAATAACGAGAATGGACAACGATAAACGGAAGTTCTTTTCAATTGAATATATGGCTATTATTGTCCATAGCAATCACCTGGTCTAAGCCTGAATGCAATCATCTATTATCTAAAGATAGATTGGAAAAACGATGCCTATAATCTTTCTCTCTATACAAATAACCTAGTCCGGATATACAGATAATGTGTCTTTACTTACAATAATATTAATTTATATGTATAGAAATATTATTCTAACTATAAAGATTGACAGTAATATGGATTTAAACCAATTATCCAATGATATCCGATCGATCGGAAGGAGAGATTGCAAAATCAAGCAGATTATTGTTTATCTTGAGCAGTATTAAAATATTAATGATTGTATAATATTTTATCAACACTTGAAGCATATAATTCATCAAAATCGACCATCAAGAAATTTTTACTAGTTGAAAATTTATTGAAATAATTCATTTTGCTTATGTAGACTGGAAGGTAATTGAGCCGAAAAAGATAAAAACATTCTTTTTATCAATGATAGCATCTAGCTGAATCAGTAGTCATGATTTCTCTACCTTACTATTATTTTCTCATCCTGGTATTCAATTCCGCAGATCTTAATCGATATTACTATCCTTAAAACGCTTAATCATCGATGGATAGTAGTAATATAGTGCTTAGGAATCGAAGCTTTATTTCATAGGTTAAATCCTCTTCAATACCAAACACTTTTGTTCATGAAATTCTTTTAATTTTGCTTTCAACATTAGTAAATAGTGTCAATATGGACTTTCAAATTTAAGCTTGTGTATGGTTAATTTCAACTGCAAGGCAGATGTGGAAGCGGCAATTTTTTTACCTATAAATATTTGATGCTATTTAATAGGAATGAGCATATTCTATTAACGGTTTTGATGAATTACCAGTACTGCTATAGCAGTTTGATAGAATAATATGCTTTAAATATGTAAACTACCAACTCGTTCAATTCTATAACGGAATAATATCCTCTTAAACTCCCATTATATGGCGACTGTAGTATTTTTATGTTATTTATTCGATTTTAATCTATGCTACTAACTTTAAATATCAACGATACTCTTCAAACGATATTAATTTAGTAGAATAATTTAGAGAATTGATGCTTTAAAATATAAATAGATTCTTATATGAGTTCTGATCTTGAAGCCACTGGCTTTGATTGAAACTTTAACATATGGGTAGAATTAAACTGTATCGAACCTTACCTTTATTTTAATGCTGTCTATGTTACTTTAACTGCAAGATAACCGTAGAATTGATGAAACATAAACTTAATTTGAACATCTTACTCACACTTAATTAAACGAATAGAAGTAATTAATTATATGAAAACTTAATATTTCAACTATAATTACACAACTATAAAAATTATATTATCTTCACATTTCACTATAGATGCACTAAAGTTGGTATGATAATGACAACAGATTAACCACCGAAATTTGAGTGACTTCTTAAGCATACACTTTGCTTCTTCATGTTTGCCTAAGCCATTCTAGGCAAATTCAATATTGCTATATGATAGTATGACATCGAAATGACTGTGATCAAAGAACATTAATTGAATTTTAAGTGATCTCCGATATATGTAAATAGTCTCTTTATATCCTATCCTAGTTTCAGTCTATATTTTTCTAGATTTTTGTATAATGTAGCAACATCGGGATGGAGGAAATCAAGGACTAACAATTGAATTTGAGTGGCTTCTTAACCATAGAAATAGCTTCTTTATACTTACACTGATCATTATAAGCAGAAGCAATGTTGCTATGTCATGCCGTAACATGGGATTAATTGTGATAAGGAGCTAATAATCGAATTTTGAAGGGTTTCTTGAGTATAGATGCTGGCTTTTCATATTTGCCAAAATTATGGTACACTTTTCCTATATTATTATTATATGAGGTGGCAACTTGGGAAAATTTACCATCACAACCTAATAAGCAAATTTTAAGCAATATCTTACGCATCAAAATGGCCTTTCACATTTACTCTGATTAATTACAATTATTATAGGCTACACCAATATTGTTAGGTGATGCAGCAATATTAGAAAATCATAATCAAGGACTGATAATAAAATTTTGAAAGATTTTTCATCAATCAAAGTAGTTTTTTCATATTTTGTCTAATTGTCATATACTATATCAATGTTGCTATATGATGCGGTGGTATCAGTATGACTATGATCAAGGACTGACAACTGAATTTTGAATGATTTCTCATGCAGAGATATTACCTCTTCATGCTTGCCCCGATACTGATATATAACTCCGATTCGGCTCTAAGATGCAGAAACATCGTTTAATTGTGGCTAAGGACTGATCGAATCTTAATCGACTTCTCGTATATGGGAATGGTCTTTTAGGCTTTTCCTAATCAAATGTACACCGTACCAATGTCGTAATATTATGCAGCAATGTGAGAATAAATGTGAACAAAAACTGACAATCGAATTGAAATGACTTCTCATACTTACGAATTGCTTGCTCAATAATGTTCATGCATATTCTGAATAGTATAGGCAAGATTAATCTTGCTATATGTTGTAGTAAACTGAATGATTTTGATCCCGGGCTGACAATTGAAATTTTGGTTGCTTTCTATACATACGTAAAAATATCCCGTTTATGCATACCCTAATTTCTATAGGTATTCCCTAAAAGGATGATTGAAATCATGGACTGACAGCCAAATTATGAGTGATTTCTTTAGCATAGAAATAGGATAAATGGATATACCTGCCATGATCGCAGTAAATAATTTCCATGGCATTATACAATGCAACAATATCAGGATGATTATGACCAAGGATGGAAAACGGATTTTGAGTGACTTCATGTACATACAGATAGCTTCCTCATGTATGCGTATGATTGAATTGTGAGTGATTCTTATGCATAGAAATAGCCTATTCATATCTACCTAGATCGCTTAATAAGCTGCATCAATACTGTTATATGATGACCCAGCAACATAAGGATAGTTGTGACCAAGGACCGACATTTCAATTTGAAGTAGCTTTCCATACATAGAAGTAGACTGTTCTTCCTTGCTTAAATGTCCATACCCCGTCTCTACGTTGAGATCAAGCAACAAGGAGATGTCTACGATCCGAGTCCGAGTAGAATTTGAGTGACTCCTTAGTACTACAAATAGCTTCTTCACATTTTTCTTACTTAAGATAGTCCACAGCAATATTGTTATATGACTTGGCAACATTAGGATGATTGTGCTCTAGGACTGACGATTGCATTTGAGTGAATTACACATAGAAATAACCTCTTCATAACTGCTCTTATGATGATATACCGATTTAATACAGTCATGGGATGCAAGCATAGACAGTAGAACTTTATGTCATTTCTCGTGAATACAAAAGGCTTCTGCATGCTTACCTTGATCAGAATATACAAATTCATATTGACATAGAATGTAACGGTATGAGAATGATTGTGACTAAAGATTGATAATCGAATTTAAGTAACTTCTCATACCCTGAAACAGCCTCATTTTGCATCCCCCTTCGCCCTTATAAACAAATCCTACATAGCTATTAGAAGAAGCAATATCAGGATGATTGCGATCAAGGACTGATAGTCAAATTTTAAGGATTTTGTAGGTAGAAATAACCTCTTCATGCCTGCCTTGAACAGTACATGTATCTCCTAGATTGTTACAAGAACGAGCAAGAACGAAATGGTTATGATGATGGACTGACAATCAAATGTCAAGTAATTTCTCAGGTATACAAATAGCTTTATTATTATACAAGCTTGTATCATGACAGGGAATGCCAAAGATACTATAAACTATGAATCAGCAACATGAGAATGATTATGACCAAGGACTAATAATAGAATTTTGAGTGATTTCGTAATTAGACAAATAGTTTCTATAATTACCCTGAGCTTTAGATACATGCACAACCTCGATTTCCGTACGAAACAGTAATATCACGATGATTGTCATCATGGGCTGATAATCGAATTTTGAGTAATTTCTCGAATACATGAATTGCTTCATGCTATCAGCTTTGTTACAGATACGCGTATACAGCTCCTGTGGCTAAAGACTAAGGATCCAATCTTGAAAAGTTTGCCAAACAAACATATAAAAGGCTTCTTTATGCTTGTTCTGATATGTAGACTAGATCATTGCCACTGTCTGATGGGTATAGTACTACGTTATCGGCATAATTATAATCAGAGACCGATAACGGAATATATAGTGATTTCTCAAGCATAAAAATAACCTTTTCATACTTGCCTAACTTGCTATATACTGTACTGTACATTTCCTAAATTGCCGTTTATGCTAGTAGTATCAGAATGATTTTCACCTCATCCTATATGCACTATGAATAGCGGTACAAAAATTATAGATAGGAGATTCGCTATCATACTGATTGCAGTAATAAACTAGCGGAGTATTCCTTATAAATCAATCAACAGTGATTACGCTTAATACTTTAGGGCGTCGGTTTGAGTTTAGCAATGTAAATATGCCTGTTAACATAGCAATTGTAGATGACTAATACTACAACATAAAAAAGCTAAATGTGACACAAATTAATTTAATTTACATTTATTTTATACGTTCTTATACAGAACAACTTGTCAAATAGTTATCATACAGTTGGTCTAAGCGCTAACCTGCCTTATGCTATTGTAAATAAATCCCGTAAATCTCCACTCATGGGGACGCAAACTACCGTAATTTCTAATGAAGCCAAAGACCAATATAGAATTAACCATAAAAGTAACCAACG